TCAATAACTGTCATTTTGCAGATGTGAATACTTGTACAGACACTGGTTAAATAAAATAATTATAGTAACTAGATGGGTGGCAGCAAACTAAAATTTTGAACAGATTTTCTCAGTTGGTCACCACTATGCACCTATGCCTATGCTTCAGCTTCTTGTTTAAACCTCTAAATTTGGATCCACTTTCTGCCTATAAAATGTCCATGTGCTCTAACAAGGTAGAAAAAAAAAATCATCAGAATGTGTATTGAGTCTTCTGCTATATTTGTCCACCAGATGTCTCATCATGGGAATTCCACAGATCAGCAGTTTCACTGTTTAGGTTTTCAAGGCATGATGCAGATGCTTCTGAGTTTACTATAAACCTACAAGTTTGTCAAGTCATACGAAGAAATAAATGCAAGCTAATGAGCATCCAAGGAGTCTACCATGGAATAATACTGTAAGAAGCAATGAGATATTTTGCAACAATGCCTCTGAAAATTAAGTCTACTGCTGTATAACAATTACTTTTTTGCAAATGTGTGACAATCAAGTGACAATAATTAAGAATTTAACTTTCGTCAAAATTTTAGGCTAAAATTCACATGCATTTTTCAGCAAATATGTGAATTTTTTTTATTTTGTAAAATCGAATTATAGCCATTAAAGTTTCAGTATATTTAAATTTTAATTGAAACATTTATAACAATTTTAAGTTACCTACAGTCTAGCCAGATAAAACATAGTTTCAATAATAAAAAAACTATAAAGTTGTGATAAACCAATATAATTTGCTTATATTCCTATCAGTGAATATCAGTCCTACAGTAAAAACAATAATTATCACTTTAATATTCTTGAGACTTTATCCTATATATTCTGCCAAATATATCCTCCTTCCACTGTCACTTGCACAATGCTACTTTTGTCAACATTTATCTCAAATGTCATTTCTCTGTGAAAGTTTCTTATATTCACATGAACAAAAAATTCACAATTTCTACAGAAGTCCGAACAAGCTTTAAGCACAGTATGCAACCACTACATATTGCCTAGTTTCTACGTAATCTGTCTTGACGATTTAGATTTTAAGCTCCTTAAGGGCAAGGCCCATTTGTACTATCACCATATAACACAGAGTGTGTATGCAGCAGTAATACAGGAAAGAAATCTAAGGGAAACACTCATTTTAAATCAAAAAAATACTCCCAATGAAACAATTTGCATGTTTAAAGAATCAGGAGGAAAAAGGTATCTAATATTCAATTAATGTGAAAGACAACCTATAATCATATATATCATAGTTTTCATCACTCAATCAAATTCAAACTCCAAAATACATGAGGCCTCTCTTCTCTCTTCTTTCCTTTTCTTTCTCTCCCCTCCCTTCTTCTCTCCTCTCCAGTCTGCCTTGCCTTGCCTTGCCCTGCCATACCTTGCCCTGCCCTGCCCTGCCCTGCCCTGCCTTGCCTTGCTTTACTTTTATGAGACAGAGACAGAGTCTTGGTCTGTCAACCAGGCTGAAGTGAAGTGGTGCCATGGTAGCCCACTGCAGCCTCAAACTTCTGGCCTCAAGAAGTCCTGCTGAGTCAGCCTCCCACAGTGCTGGGATTACAGGTGTGAGCCACCATGCCTGGCCCTAAACTGTCTTTGAAAATCAAATCACTGTGTTTTAAGAATATGAATAATTCTGTAAATTAGGATTTACTTCCCTGAAATATTTTGTATTTCAGTTTTAAAAGTCATCAAAAACATGTTGAAATGTGGCTCTGTCATTTAAGAAAAATGATTTTCTGTCTTAGGTAAAAATGCCTTGTGGTACCTCAGCCTCTACTTTAAAAATATCATTATATGTCTCTTAAAACAGAGTAGCACTCAAATTGAATGATGAAGAATTAAAGAGAGAGGAAAAAGAAACAACACAGTAACAATTGAAATTCGATGTAAGATTTTATATGAAAAACAAAAAGCTCAGAAATGTTCAAAATGTTTTAAAATGTCACCCCAAAATGCCTTATATTTAACATAAAGAAATGCTTAGCACACAGGTAAGCTACTGACCATTTGGTCAATGCTCGATTTCCTATAATAGAAATACTAGCAAAACCAAGAATCTAACACATCACCACATATATATTTATGTCTTACATCATTGTTTCCTTTTCTTTGACTCACTCACCCCATTTGTGCGAATTTCCTCAGTATCCTCCAGGGTTCATAAAATTGATATAATCCAAGATTTCTTTTCGTGCTATAGCTTATTCATTTTCACTGTTCAAACTATATCCTAGAATACATCTATTTTCATATTAAAGCACTTCCGTCCTCAATAGTATTGGGATAAAAATCATTTTAATGATGTCAGTTGAATCATACAATCTCAGATTTATAGAACTTTATATTGCATTCTAGTATTCCACTCTATTGTAAGCAAATTGGAACATCAAAAGTCAGTTTTGGCTTGAAGACAGAATATGTAATTGTCTTCAGTAACTCATTCTTTAGGTTAGGCAACATCTTTTCTAGGCCTTCTATCACAATACAATCTCCTGGTCCATCTAGACTCAAGAGTCTGCCATCTGTGTAGCCACACTAAGAAGAGCCCCAAATTTGCCTTAATGCTCTAATGTTGCCATAGTGAATTTATTAATTTTTGAACAAGGGGCAGGCATTTTTATTTTCACTGGACACCACTAATTGAGAAGCTGCTCCTCTCTTTGGGAGTGATAAAACATTAAGTCACTATAAATTTATCAATCAAATAACTTTAAGTCAGTAAGGAATTAAAACAAGGGTAGTAAGCGGAACAGTAAATGTCTATATTACAGAGACAATGGGAGGAAGGAAAACCTAAAATGAAAGGCGTATGTATAAATTAGTCATTTTCTTAGTTAATAATTATCTATTTAGTACCTTCTATGTGCCATGTATTGTTTCGGCTAGTGAGATTATAGCAATGATTGATGCAGACAAAATCTCAGACTTCGTGGAGCTTCCACTCCTTGGAGAAACCACATCTATCTATAGTAAGTGGGGGCTTTCCAGGGGCAGTGTTTTGGAAGAAGACAATATATTTCTTTTATCTCCAATAGTGCTACCTTTGGTAGCCAGGAAAATTAATGATAGTTAAGAAAATTTAATGATTACAACCAATCTCTTATTACTAATCTTGAATTTTCTTTAAAGGATTGTTGGACATTTCACAGATCAATGTTGGTCATCTTTACTATTTTGTCCCATATAACACATAGTTTCAAACAGGCCATATAACTAGTATATTTAAAAATAAATGTTAGGGCTCGTTTTGTGAGCCCTATATATAATGCTGCTTTCTTCTCTCCATTCTGTGCTCCATCTTTTGTCTAAGTTTAATGGTATATAAACTGTGCTCCCATCAAAGGAGTTCTTTTAGATAAAAGCATTGATTCTTTGGATCCGTGCTTTGTGTCACTGGTTCTGCAAAGGAAACAAGAAAAAAAAAAAAAAAAAA